AAGCTATACGCTTTTTTCACTGCGTGATGCAGCAAATAATATACCGGTTGATCGCGGTTATTGTTATCAATATCATGTGAATTTAATTTTGACATGTGCCCCAACTGCTTATATTCGTGAATAAACTGTGTATATTGCTGCTTTAAATCTGGATCGTTTTTAAACCTTTTTTCTAATGATAAAAATCGCGTTCTGCCTCGAAACTTTTCAAACTCAATTGTGTTAGGGGCGTATATACCGGGCGTGGATCATTGTAGGATACTGGATACTTATAATTAATTTTTAATAAACAAACACTACTGTGCTCACAAGTCAGGGTATGGCTGTCGTCAGGAGCGACCTCTGGCACTTATAAGCTAAGCTCAGGATCTTTTTTCAAAAATAAGAGAAACACACATGAGTACCCAAGCATACCCTCACCTTAAGCATAACAACTTAAATCAATTACTACTGTTTAGACAAACTTTTCTCAAACTGCTGCAGCTAATTCTACTCAAAACATATTTTACTGATATGGCCAGTTCATTCAACTATTTATCAAACATCAGGCTAACAATTCAAACCGACCAAACCACCTCTGCACAACCAACATTGGCTGAAAAACTATAGCACTGAGATAGTTCATGGCCAGACCATTCGTACCGGAGCCAGGCTGTATCACCGCAGCTAACAGTCTCCTAATACTAAAGTACTCTCCGTGTCACCGCAGCTAACGGTTCGGACTGTATCACACGCAGCTAACAGCCCTAGGATACCCCGCTCATGGCCAGGACGCGTCCTATTCCAGAACCAGACTGTATCACCGCATCTAACAGCCTCTGAGATATCCCCCCTGTCACCACAGCTAACGGACGGACTGTATCACCGCAGGTAACAGCCTCAGACACAGCTTAATACAGCTGGAAGAGTCCGTGTCGGCGCCTTTGATGAGGCGGTCGAGAACCAAGCGAGACGGAATCGTGCTAACTCTCTCAGATTAAGCGGAATAGTCGGGGCTGGATTAAAAGAATTTTTATTATTGAAATAAAATATTTAGTTTCTACCTGACAGTACCGTAGTAGGTAATTTTAATAATATGAAATTTGAATTCGAATATTACGTGGTATGACATTAAAAGTAGAAAATAGGTATTTTAGATAGGTAATAGGTTTTGTACTTGGAGTTAATACGGATTATTAAAAGAAAACTTGAAGAGTAATTAAAATTCCTTGTTGTAAGTTGTTTACTGACGTAATCCTTAGAGAAGAAAATGGTTAAAATCGCGTTATTTTCGAACTAAAAATCGTTAATATCTTCAAAACGATTTTAGAGAAAAGTTGAATATGAACATTTTTGTTCAGGATACCCCAAAAAGCCTATAAAAATGTGTTTCGAGCGAAAAAATCGAAAATTACGAATTTGTTTAAAAAAAATTGTTTAAACAATTTTTGACCATTAGTAACGTCTGGCAACATGCGGATATGATTCAAGGGTAATTTTTTTAGTAAGATTATGAAAAAAATTCGAATGAAAATCATGTTCCTAGCGGGAGCAACGATACAGCCTGGACTAATACAAATTATAAAACATACCTACAATATAATATACAAAAAAATATAATAACATAATATATAGTATTAAAATATAATCATTACAGATTTCTCCATTATTATAAGTTTATTTTTTGAATATTCCTAAAATTTTGGTGTATAGTTTATAACATATAATAAATTCTAACCCTTAAATATAACCTAAGTACAAATTCTTTCGGAAAAGAATGAAACGGATGACTAAAAGGTAGTCTTTTAATTAATTCAAGAAATGTGCTACAAATGTTAGTTTTTGTGGATAATTGTTCAAAATTATCTTGGATTATCTTTTCAGTGTTACAAATGAGCTTAATAAAGTTATCGTTTGGCATTTGCAATTGTCCAAATAAGGTATCTTCATTTTCATTATTATATAAAATAAAAATAAATCAACGAAATTATACCCACGCCTATGATTGCATTCTTACTACCCGTTGTCGTTACTCGCCTGAACGAACGCCAAAGCCGTCTTTTCCGCTGGAAGGCGGGGCATAAACGCTGCGCGGCGGAATCGACGCTAACCGTTCCCGCCAAGACAGTTGGGGAGCTGTATAAGCTGTGCCTCATAACAAGACCTTATCACCCCTAGATTAGAGAAGTGTGTCACCGCAGCTAACGGCCCATAGAAAATATAGTACTATATTTTGTATGGTAACGGCCCTTCACAACAACACAACAAAACAATAATAGGCAGGTCTGGTCAAGCAAACATTGCCACCAATTTCCACAAATGATTCATTTAAACAGTAGTACAGAATACTTAATTAACAATTAGTAAGCATGCTAAGATACTCAGTGATAAACTCACCCTGTAATTCACAATTACAAGAACTTCAATTATTTTCCTCTCACTGTCTTTAAACCACATACACACGCATACACTTCATGGTCTTTTATAAAATGAGCCCATATACAGGCTGTTACAAATTCGCTTCTCACTACAGGGTAAGAGGTACGAAGTAGCTTAAATGGGGGCAAAGTTGCGTAATCAGGGGACCAACATTATGCCTCTAAAAAAATCAAGGCTAACATGATTAGTTTTCGCAATATTTCAAAAAAAAAGAAATTTTGGATATCCGTTTTGTTTTCATTTTAGCCTTATTTGAGGTGATATTGAAAAAATAACACTTTCTCATTGACACTTTTTGCCCTCTATCGAATGACATAATCAATTTTTATATGTAACGTTTCGTCTGTCCAGGACTATCATTAACTTCATTTTTTAAATACGACCCTGGGAATTTTATTACAATTTTTGCAAGCTTTTATGACCCCCAATACTATACTGCCTTAGTCCGACCCAGATCCAAACATTTTATCTCGAAAAATTAATCTTCAGTGTACCTACTCTTCCAAATTTATCTACATTTTTGTTTATTGAATTATCGTACACTGTACCTAAGTGTCGTTAGACCATGTGAAATCCATTTAGTTATTTAAACTATTACCAACACGCATTAAAATAAAACATTATTATAGTTTTATTCCCGTGTCCATAGTTATTTCTAGACTTGCGAGTGCTCAAAATTCAAACAAATTCCGATCTATTTTCTTTTTTTTTTTCAGGATATTCATACAAATACATTCGATATGCTCTTTCACAGTTGCGGTGACGGATATAATAAATTCCGATAATATTACGCTGAACTTCATTTTCAACTTTTACCAAAACGAAAGTGTTTTTGAACATTTACTGAAATTTTTTAAAGATAAGCATCCCCGATGTAGGTTGTGCATGCATCTGGAACACCTGTAATCAATATTACACACACATACGCTCACTTCTTTCATCCTCGTATCTCTCGGCTCAGCCCCTGGATACGGCGCCCCTTGGCTAATGCCCTCGGCCTCACCATTCATTCTCGTATCACTCGCCTGATACGGCGCCCCTGGGCCACGACTACCTCTCGGCCTTACCATCCACTCTCGTCACCAGTCATTCATTCAGTAGTAACACAATAACAATAATAATAATAATAATAACACCTGATTTATAGAGACAGATCTGCCCTAATGACGTACTTTAATTAGTAGGATTTTAATAAGTAATCGCTGCGAACGTATTCACTAGACTGCTGAAATAAGACTCTCGTCTCTACCGCTGGAACCCAGAATCACACCGTCAGCTGAATCTACATAAAATAATAACGCTATGAAATACAATCAATCATTTACTGAGAACTAAGCCTAGTTGTTCACTTATTTGTTTACTTAATTCTTTTCTTTTAAAACAGTTCCTAACAGAATATTATTCAGTTGGCGTTTGGGTTGTTCATATTCATTTTTAAGAATTAATTTTTCATAATAAAATTAAAATTGTAATAATGTTTTAATTTTGACGTAACAACTTATGGAGTTATGTATGACCAAGTGTGATGGTAATAGTTAATAATAATAATTATTGTAACGCGTGGTGGTAATAGTTTAAATAACTAGATGGATTTCACAGGGTCTAATAACGACACTTATAGTGTACGATAATTCAATAAACGAATAAATCTAAATAAAAAATTTATATAAATTTGGAACGAATACACTGAAGATGAATTTTTCGAGACAAAACGTCTGAATCTGGTTCGGGCTGAGGCAGTACAGTATTGGGAGTCATGAAGGCTTGCAAAAAATGTAATAAAATTTCCAGGGTCATATTTAAAAAAATGAAGTTGATGATGGTCCTAGGGAAACGAAACGTTACATATAAAAATTGATTATGCCATTCGATAGAGGGCAAAAAGTGGTCATGAGATAGTGTTCTAAGAGTGCAAGGTTAAAAAAAAATTAGAGTAAAAATATTGATTTTATTTTTTATACTCGAACTAATTTGCTTCATTGTGTGTTATAATAAATACTTAATAAATTATTTTGCTTTGCTTAATTTTTATTGATATCCCTTCAAAACTTCATAAAAACATCAAAACTCATACTTCTACTAAATTTAAATAAATCAGCATTATAGCCTCAAAGTTATGAAAGCAATTTCGAGTAATGTTTATAACAAAGTTAAAGAGTTTTTACTGTCTAATCAATCAAGGATATTTAATATCATTGATTTATACCTCTATGTATTCACTAACCACCAGCATCACCATACGATGTATTTCTGGTTGCCTGCAAAAATTTGAAAATGTACATTTATTATATACATAAAATAATAAAATTTACACGGAGAAAGAAATAAAAAATTACTAGTTTAATTAATACAAAAAGTTTTGTAATACAATACACATTACTTTCACTCATTGTTTTAGACAGCAGCAACTACATTAAATACAAAGGAATTAACTTTGTTACACATTACTTGAAACTGTACTTTCATAACTTTAGGAGGCAACAATGCCGATTTATTTAAATTTTATAGAAGTATAACTTTTGATGTTCTTATGAACTGCATCCGTTTTCAAGGAAGATCAATAAAATTTAAGCAAATTAAAATAATTTATAAAGTATTTATTATAACACACAATGAAGCTAATTAGTTCCGTGTATAAATAAAATCAATATTTCCATAAAAAAGCTTATTCTAATCATGGTAACGGACAGAAGGTTCTTCGACACGTTCTAAACTAAACACTTTGCTATTGTCTCTATTTAAAATTGTCTTTGCTGTCCTACTGCGTTTTTGTACTGTTTTGCTTATCGTAATTACCATCACTAGGTTGTGTATTGGTAGTAACCACAATACTCGAGATGTTATCAAGTGATTTCTATATTGCTGTGTGTTCATTGAAATTATTTTTTGATGGTCCTGATTCACACGGGTTAAAATCGTATATGGTCGAGTCGCTGTCATTGATACTTTGGGACCTCACAGCAAAGGTGTTTATAATTTTCTTCCCACGTTCTACAAGGAAATAAATTAATCAATTCTTTATCGTCCAAGCAATTTAACCCAATTACGTGACAAATATACAATTTAACAATATCAACCTTTGAAATTTTGTCTCTGGATTTATATATTTTGAACTCACCTTCTCTTTTCTTTGGAGTTGACGATGATAACCAGTTTGGTGACTCTTCATTATCCAAACCTTGGCCCTCCTTAAATAGATACAAATAAAAATTAAGAAGAAACGCATATCTTAAAAATACAGCAAAATCATTAACAAAACCTTATTGCACAGCTCTGACAGCAAAAGTACTTACAATATTCTGAACTTTTCGAACGATGTTTTGTCTTAACGTTTCTATTAAGACAGAAGATGAATTTTGTGTTGTGTCAGTCTCGTACATTTCTCCTTCTGAATTTATCTAAAAGGTTTAAATATATAAGTGTTTTGTTAAGTTCAGAAGCAAAATTTACCTGTGGATTATTATTAAACTTCTCACAGTTCAGACCCCGTACTTGCAACTTTTTTGCACTTGTTAGAAGTAAAGGAAGAAGGCTCTTTGAGACACTTATTTGGCCCTTATACATGAATTCCAATAAGAGTTCCATATGGTTTTTTGGAATATCAAAAAAAACAATAACAGGGTGAGGCTCTGTCCGAGCTATTAAAATATTTTCAAAAAATTGACTACATGCAGACAATACCACTTGATGGGCCGTAATAGCCTCCCCATTACAAATTAACGTTACGTTTGCTAAACACCTTGTGTTGAAATACCTTAATAAATTTCCACGAAGAGTATATTCATAGTTTTCAAACTCAAGAGAATATTTTGATTCTTGAACCTCCATATCCATATAAGATTAAAGCAATTGAAATATTATTTCTTTTAAAATTCAAATCATTTTATGATTATAAAGCTTGAATTGTGTAAAACATTTTTCAAATATCTAACCGAAACTCATGCGGTGCGTACCATACATAGAAAATATAGTACTAACGTAGAATGAAATGTCCCTAATATTAGTAATATTGCCACTAAACCGCGAAACAGCGCCACGTAACGTTTTGGAAGCTTACTACTACTTAGCTCCTAATGCGTAGGCAACACTTTATACTTTGTGAACTGATTACAGCGCCATCTGTCGTATGGAAACAACTTCTCACTTATATCCTCTATATTATATTATTTTAAAAATTTTAAAAGTAAACCCTTATACAAATAGGAATAGTCAAGTGTCAATACTTTTGAGAACAGATTATTTAGTTAAACAGAAAATGTAGCGAAAAACTAATATTCAGTACTTTTCTAATTCACTTCTGCTTTGATAACGAAACTAGAGGTTTCAGAAACGTCATAGTGTTATTGTGATGTGTATTTGTTTTTCCAGTGCGTAACCAGACTTATACATGTAGATGTATGTCTCTGGCATCTCACTATTAGGCAAAAGTTTTCAGTATTGACACTTGACTGTCCCTATCGGTACAAGGGTTTATTTTTCCAGTTTTTTTTTCTTCAAACTATGGCAAAATATCCAAATTATAACATTTATAATGCCACAAATAAATACAGACAATTTCTTATTTATTATTTTATTATATTATAGTATTTTTCAAATTTTGACATTTGCCAAGATATACTTAGTAAATGGTTTCGATAAGGAAATAAAACATTTTTTAATAATTTTAAGTTTATTTTGTATCTACAAGAAATCCTAATTGATTTATACAGAATGTTGTTATGCATGTACTATTAAAACAATTTCTTGTTATGTATTTAATTGTAAGTAAAAACGACAACAATTTAATTCATTTGCTTCATAAACTTGATAAGTTGGCAAGTAAGCTGTAAAAATATAAAAATTATGCATGAACTGTTATAATAATCTCACTTTCCGGAGAGTATACCTAACCGAATATTTGTACAATATTGGGTTAAATTCAATAGTTCATATAGTTTGGAACTTTCAAACC